AAGTCCAGAACTTTGGCGGCTCCCAGCCCAAACTCGGCCCCCATTTACCTCCTCTCCCTGCTAGGCCACTGGTGTCTGCAAGGTAGGAGTGGAAGAAAGATCCCGAGTTCTCCTGTGCAGGGGGCCTGGGGTCAGTGGGCCCGGGTAGTTCTGACTTGTTTTCCTGCGTGTTTCTCTCCCTGAAGTCAGGCCGCGTGCCGGGTGCCCGGGGGAACGGGTGTGCCGGTCCCACCGCCTCGGATCCCGCAGCACCTTTTCCTTTCAGACAAGTAAGCAGCTGGCAGCAGCCTTCCAGGAGGAGTTCACGGTGCGAGAGGACCTGATGGGACTGGCGATCGGGACTCACGGTGCCAACATCCAGCAGGCCCGGAAAGTGCCCGGGGTGACTGCCATCGAGTTGGGCGAGGAGACCTGCACTTTCCGCATCTATGGGGAGGTCAGCAAAAGACAGCTGTTGCTTAGGTCATTGTGGGTAGAGAGAAGAAAGGTGAGGTGGCCGGGAAGCCCAGGTACCGTCCGCTGCTTCCCGCCCTGGCCTGGCAGTAGCACACTTTCCCAGAGGCGGAGAGGGGTGGCAGGAAGGCCCCCGTGGAGAGCCAGGGCCTCTGTGAGTAACCCCCGCCCCCCGTCGCGCTCTCTAGACTCCTGAGGCGTGCCGGCAGGCCCGAAGCTACCTGGAGTTTTCGGAGGACTCCGTGCAGGTGCCCAGGAACCTTGTTGGTGAGTTGAGGGTGCGTGCGGATAACAGAGTACCGGTGGCGCCGGGAGTGAGATTCCTGAAGGGGTTCTGGGCCCGGCGCCTCCCTGCGGACTTGCAGTTTCCCTGGGACAGAGCCAACGGTCTTGTGCGGGTGACAGAAATGGAAGAACAGATTTCTAGGGATGGTATGTAGTCTTGTCCTGTGAAGACTCGCCAGAAACTTAGAAGCAGAATACTTAAACCGAATGCATATATAGAAGCTGGGAAACTTTATTTTCTCTATTGTTACTCTTTATTTCTTTGCCGGGGGTGGGGGGGGGGAAAGCCTAATTTCTTCTTTATTCATTCAGGCAAAGTGATTGGGAAGAACGGGAAAGTGATCCAGGAGATTGTGGATAAGTCTGGTGTGGTGAGGGTCCGTGTCGAAGGCGACAATGACAAGAAGAACCCCAGGGAGGAGGTACGGGGCGTCTGCATCTGGAGGCTGGCTTCCCGGAGTAGGTGGGGTCGTTTGCAGAGCCCTTCTACGTGGGCCGGGGTCTCCAGGGGGTGGGGGATGGGAGCTGCTGTTTCCCCCGGAGATGAGAGCCCGGAACCATCCCTCTGGGTGAGCTTCCGGAAGCGTTGGGGCGGACTTACTACTCGCATTGGCCCTCCTCACCCTCCCGCCCTGTGTGCCGTGCAGGGCATGGTTCCCTTCATATTTGTTGGCACCCGGGAGAATATCAGCAATGCCCAGGCTCTGCTGGAATATCATCTCTCCTACCTGCAGGTACAGAGCCTGAAGCCGGACGGGGAAGATCTGGGGGTGGCGAGGAGACGAAGGCTGCCTGCCGGTGGATAACGTTAGCAGTCGGGATGCCCCGTTTGTGTCTGAGTGGGGCAGAAAGCGCTGAGCGGAAGTGTGGGGCTGTGGGGTCGCATCGCAGAATTTTCCATGCTCAGCTGGTGTCTTCCATCTTGCAGTCCTGAGAGTTGAGGTGTGGGGACAGTCAGGGCAGAGAAGCCTGAGAGAAGGAGGCTGTCCCCAGGTCTTCATCTCCTCCCCGTTCTGTATCTTTCTCGGTCTTCCACCACCCAGGAGGTGGAGCAGCTCCGCCTGGAGAGGCTGCAAATCGATGAACAGCTTCGGCAGATCGGGCTGGGCTTTCGGCCTCCTGGGAGCGGGCGCGGCGGCGGTGGCAGCGACAAGGCTGGCTATACCACGGACGAGAGCTCCTCCTCATCCCTCCACACCACCCGCACCTACGGGGGCAGCTACGGGGGCCGGGGCCGCGGCCGGAGGGCAGGTGGCCCCGCCTACGGTAAGACAGCCCTGGGGGGTGAACGGCAGCGGGCCTTGGAGAGAGGCAGGGGTCTGGCAGAATCTCCTGGGAAGGGTGATGGACACACTGAAGATGGCGCTTGCCTGGGGGACTTGTGAGGGGGCGCGGGGTGCGACGCTGTTTGAAGCCCGCTGTGTCCTTCAGGCCCCAGCTCAGACCCGTCCACGGCTTCTGAGACTGAGTCCGAGAAGAGGGAGGAGCCCAATAGAGCTGGGCCTGGTGACCGGGACCCCCAAACCCGGGGGGAAGAAAGCCGGAGGCGGCCGATTGGGGGCCGGGGTAGGGGACCCCCACCCGCCCCCCGGCCCACCACAAGATACAGCGCTTCATCTATCAGTTCAGGTACTAGCAGCAGACAGCTGGGGGCGAGACTGTAGGCCAAAAGGAAAGATGGTGGACAGCTGCTGACCAGCTCCTCCTCTTCCTCTAACCAGTGCTGAAAGATCCAGACAGCAATCCATACAGCCTCCTGGACACCTCCGAACCAGAACCTCCTGTCGATTCAGAGCCCGGGGAACCGCCGCCAGCAAGTGCCAGGCGCCGCCGCTCCCGCCGCCGCCGCACAGACGAGGACAGGACTGTCATGGACGGAGGCCTGGAATCGGACGGGCCGAGCATGACGGAGAACGGCCTAGGTGAGGGCGCTGCCCGGGGTCTCAAAGAATTCGAGCTGGGCGGGAGCCGAGGTGCGGGGGGCCAGGTGCACGGCTCAGGTTTTCCCTGCCCCGCAGAAGACGAGTCAAGACCCCAGCGTCGGAACCGGAGCCGCCGTCGCCGGAACCGCGGGAACAGGACCGATGGCTCTGTCAGTGGAGACCGTCAGCCAGGTGAGCTCACACCGGGGCCGGTGTCCTTCCTCGGAGCAGAGAGAGCGCGGGTGGGGGGAGGGTTGGGGGCGTCTAGGGGCTGGGCACCTGGTTCTCTCTGAAGCCCTCGGTCCTCCGCCTTCTGCAGTGACCGTGGCTGACTACATCTCCCGAGCGGAGTCTCAGAGCCGCCAGCGGCCGCCCCTGGAACGCACTAAACCCTCAGAGGACTCCCTTGCAGGACAGAAGGTAGGCCTGCGACGTGTCATTGAGCCCATTGAGCCTTCCTTTGCTGGGGCCTGGCGCAAGGAAGTCGCGGAGGGACCTCTTGCTAAACTGCAGAGGAAGCGACATCTAGGGTGTAGACCGCCGTCTAGAGTAGTGGAAAGTTTGGACAGGACAGGACAGAGGGAGGTGTGTTCGGGAGCTTCTGGACTCCCTCCCGTGAGTTCCTAGAGCGGCCGGTGGGGGGGATCAGCCCCTGGGGCGCAGGGTGCCAGGGCCCTGGGATGGCAGGGGGGTCTCACCTGCATTTGCACTGACCGTCCTCCTTCCTGCCTTTCCCTGTTTTCTTTCCCACTTCCCCCCCCAGGGAGACTCTGTCAGCAAGCTTCCTAAGGGCCCCTCAGAGAACGGGGAGCTCCCGGCCCCCCTGGAATTGGGTAGTTTGGTGAACGGGGTTTCATAAGACCTCCGGCCCACACCCCTCCCTTCATATCGCTTGCTGCCCAACACCACGGCCTCCCAGGCCCGACTGACCTGCGCTGGAGCTGCTCTTATCTAGGGGGGAGGGGGGTGGCACAGCAGCTTGGGTCCCCCCTCAACCTCCAGGAGCTCGTGGAGGGGTGTGTAACAGGGTCATACCCCCTCCCTCTTGTCCGCCCTTACCCCCAAGGGTGAGGGGAGCCTCTCTCCTTCCCCATCAGACTGGATGTGCCTTTATCCTCCAATGCCCCGATCTCTCTGAACACCCCCATTCTCCGCCTGCTGGTGCGGGGTGCTCCTTGATCCACCCAGATTTGACAGTTCAGGGGGGCTCCCCTGCTATCCCTCCTCCCATCCTGTACCCCCCATTTCTGGGGCCTCATCACTGTGGAAGACGGGGATAGTAAGGGTCTAAGTGGGTGGGAGGCATGGGGAAGGTTTTGGAGTAGAACCAGGGGTGTGTATGAAGCGGGGGTGACAAGGTCCCCCAGGGGAGGGGGGACCAACCTTGTCTGGTGGATGAGAAGGCGTATTTATTTTTCACTGTACAGTATTTAAAAAGAGAATAAAAAAATCCAAATGGCTTTGTGGTTCCCGCGCCTTCCTTATGCTCAGTTTGGTCCATCAGATTCTCCAGGCTTGACTTGCCGGGCCGTTTCCGGTGTCTCCACACCTGGCTTCTCTAGGGTTCCAAAGATGGTCTGCTTCTGGGAATTCCTGACATTCCTAGGTTCCCCAGGCCCAGGTCGCTTTCAGGTTCAGGACAGTGGCCTGTGGCCTGTGGCTTCTCCCCTCCCCCAGGTTTGCTGGTAGGAGAGCTGGGCCACTCCTTTACCCTGAGTCACAGCAGGCTAGGTAGGACTGCTCCCAGCCGTGTCTGCTCAGAGCGGAGAGCCAAGGCCGCTGCTTAATCCGATTACCCGAGTCCTGGGGCTTGGGCTGGGCCCGGGGCAGGATGGGGAGCAGGGATCCCCACACGACAGCCTCTGCGACTTAGGTGTCCAGCCCTCACTCCCGCTGGCTCGCTCTCTGGCATCGCATCCACGCTGCTGACTGCTGAGTCCGGGGTGCGGGGGGGAGGTTGTCTTGGGGTCCCTGGCTCCCTGCCTTCAGACTCGGGTTTGGGGAGAGAGCCATCAGGCAGCGGAGAAGCCGGAGTTGGGAGGGCCGGTTTTCTCACCTGGAGAAAGCGGCTGAATCACCACTTGAGCACCTGCTGGGATGAGTCAGGAAACAAAAACGGCCTGCCTCCCTGCTGCCTGACTTTGTTGCCCCAGGGGCAGGTCAGGGGTTTGGAGCAGCAATGGGCACTAGGAAAGGGTTTGGGGTAGGGGGTGGGGTGTTCCCAACTTCCTCCTGGCTCGATTGTGACCCTGAGGGCTTTTGATTCCCCTGTGCTGGGTCCCATTGTGCCAAAAAATTGACTTTAAATTGCCAAAGCTCAAGAAGGGAGGGGAAGCCGATCAGAGAGCTACCTGGGGCGGAAGGCTTTGCTTCTGGGTCTTGGGTGGGGAGGGGGCGTGGTGCCCGGAGGGGGAGCGTTGGGGGCTGGGAGGCCTGGGACACCTGGGTTCGCCTAAGGGAGGGGGACGTTGGCGCCCTTAAGGAGGCGCGGTCTGCCGGGAGGGAGTGGGGAGGAGTCTGGTTAAAAGCTGTTCCCGGCCTGGCCCACCCACCAGCCACAAACGCTGAAGCCAGGTGAGGGGCTGGGGCCACCGAGCCGAGGGACTCCAGGGACCCGGGAGCGCGGCCACGGCGTAGCGGCCTGCGGCCGGGACGCGCGCGGCTCCAGGGGCCGGAGAGCGCATCCCCTCTGTGGGGGTGCGGGGTCCGGGGCAGCGGGCTTGGCGCCCGGCTCTCCAGGGGGCGCCTGACTGGTTGGGAGCAGGCGCTCCATTCTACGGACTCTGAACTTGAGGACGACGTCTACTTTTTAAGGCCGCGAGTTTCTCTGGGACGACTTGAGACTAGGAAGACATTTCCATCTTCAGGACCCCGGCCCCGGGCATCGGCGTTTCACCTCGGAGGGGAGGGCGTGCAGGCCGCCCTCTCAAGGCTTCCCTGCACCCCACCGCCCCCATGGCGCTGCCCGGCTCCTCACACGACCAGGCCTGGAGCCTGGAGGCCCCCGCGCCCCCTGCTCCCGCCACCTCGGCCTCGGGCTGCCCGGAGCGTGAGGCCGCCGGCAGCCCGGTGGGGGCCGGGGGGCTTCCCCTGGAGAAGGTGAAGCGGCCCATGAACGCGTTCATGGTGTGGAGCTCCGCGCAGCGCCGCCAGATGGCGCAGCAGAACCCGAAGATGCACAACTCGGAGATCTCCAAGCGCCTGGGCGCGCAGTGGAAGCTGCTGGGCGAGGACGAGAAGCGGCCCTTCGTGGAAGAGGCCAAGCGGCTCCGCGCCCGGCACCTGCGCGACTACCCCGACTACAAGTACCGGCCTCGGCGCAAGAGCAAGAGCGCGGCCGCGGGGCCGCCCCACTTCGGCCAGGGAGGCGGCGGCGCGGCTGGCGGCGGGCCGGTCTGGGGGCCCGGGTACGCCACCGCCCCGGGGAGCAGAGGCTTTGGGTACCAGCCGCCCAACTACTCGACAGCCTACCTGCCGGCCGGCTACGGGTGAGTGCCTGGGGCGCGCGTTGGGGGACCGGCAGGGACCCCCCAGTTCGCCTCGTGCAGAGGTCACTTCCGGCAGAGATTGGGGGGGTCACCCCTCCCCCCCCCCCCCCCCCAGGGCCCCGTGAAGCCTGAGCCGGGAAACGCTCTGCTGGCCCGAGTTTCCCTGAAGGAGGTTTCCCTCCCGGCCCAACACGGTGGCCCCCCAGGGCCCCCCTCACCCCCAGCCCGGACATGATCACGTTCTGGTTACCTGAATTTCCCGTTTCCTCCCCGCTTCTGGCCCTCCTGTGACCCGGCTTCCTCTCCCTGCCCGCGGGGCAAGGAGAGGCCCGGCCCAGCTCGGCCCCTTGCTGGCCTGCTGCCCCGGAGGAGGAAGGCAGGCGCCGCACGCAAGCCGGCCCCGAGCGTGCCCCGACACGGCCGCCGCGCGCCTGAGGCCGGCCTGGGCCCTGGCTCCGCACCCGCGGTGCCCAGTGGGGCCCGGAGAGCCAGGGGTGGGGACGTGGGTGACAGCTTCTGCCTCTGTTTGCCGAGCGGATCTGCCCCGCCCCCACCCGGGAGGGGGGGGGGGTCCTGCCAACCCCTCCCAACCCAGGGACAGCTCGCTAACCCGTGTCTCTCTCTTTGCAGCTCTTCCCACTGTAAACCAGAGGCCTCGTCGCCGGGCTCCCTTCCTCAGAGTAACCCGCGGCTCCAGGGCGAGCTGCTCCCCCACTACAGCCCCTACCTACCCCCAGGCTCGCCCACTGTGTACAACCCTCCCCTGTCCGGGACCCCCATGCCCCTGACCCACCTCTAACCCTCGTGGACATGGACCTCCCAGGAACACCTTCAGTCTCCTTTTTCACCCAGAACCTTCCACCCCCCACGCCAGGCTGCTAACCCTTTGAACCCTTTAGAACCTCGTTGGCCCGCTGTTCAGAGGCCTGTGCTGCGGTTCCCTCACTCCGCCCCGACAAACACGTTTTTTTTTTTAGAACGAACACAGTTTTTATGATTAAACCCGGTTTCTGAGTCTTTATTGCCCCATTTCTGTTCCCCTTCACTGCAGCAGGAACCAGCAGGCCCCACCCCCTTCCGCCTGGGCCTGCCGGGGCAGGGAGCCGCTCACCCCGCCCTGGGGCTGTGCCTGAGTCATTCTCCGCCCTCCTTCCCCACCGCCTGCCCAGCACTGGGGTCCTGGAGACCCTCCCAACCGGGTTCAGGGAGGGGGCGGCCCCTAGTTCCTTCCGCTACCCAGGCTCTGTCCCCCGGGGCCACCAGGGACGTGGGGACATGGAGGGGACAGGGCAGACTTTGGCCCCAGAATACCGAAGCAGGGAGAAGATCCCAGCCGACATAAATAAATGAATTGGTAGAACGTGCACAGGACAGTGCGCAGGAGGTGCCAAATGTCCGCCTGGAAGTCCCTGTCCCTTCTCAGGATCGGCAATTCCACTGAAACCCTGGCTCCAGAATTTTGCGACTGCAGAGGAATGAATGATCAGGAGTCACACCAGCACACCGGTTCAGGTGGGACTGGCCCTGCGCTTGGGCGGCTGGCTGGGGGGGGGGCACTCCGCCAGCCCGCTCCTCGCTACTGCTGCTTCTTCTTGCCGGGGGCCTTCACGTTCCAGTAATAGAGGATCTGGGATGCAATGAGGCCGTTGCAGAGGGAAGAGACCACGAAGGTTCCAGCCATAAGGGGGTCTCCGGTCTCCTAGGGGAGAGACAGCCGGGGTCAAAGACGGCCAGGACACGAGGCTGTAGTGCCCTCTAGAGGGCAGGTGCACTCACCTGGATGGAGGTGAAGATTCTGGCCAAGGAGCCCGCAAAGAGCAGAAAGACGGTGACCGCGGAGAGCTGGCCTGTGTGGCCGTTCCGGTAGTTAGTGGCTGCTTGGAGCAGCTAGGGGACAAATGGAGACTGGGTTCTGTCATCTGACCTCTTACCACGCTCACCCCACGCGATATCCTTGCCCTGTTCCCCGTACTCACCCTCCCCACGACTACAGCAGGCACGTTGGAGGCCTGGAGCAGGGTGATCAGGGACGGAGGTGGCAGTGGGGACAGCAGAGCCAGCAGGACCAGTGCATAGCTCACCAGGAAAATGCCGCCTGCGGGTCAGGGAGATCAGGCGTCCCGGTCAACCTCTCCAGTGCTCTGGCTTCCTTCCCCAGGCCCAAGTTCCCCCAGGAGCCACACCCTGCCCTTGGGTAAATGCCCAGCACCTCTCACAGTCTGTCCACTGTAGTGCAGGGTCAGGAAGCAGATGGTGACCGTCTGCAGCATCAGGAACAGGGCTTCCCCCCAAGAGCTGCGGAGTCAAGAGTTGGGAAGAAGAAAGGCGGGCCTGGAAAGAGGCAGGAGAGCCTCCATGGCCCGTCCATCTGGGGACCCATTTCTCAGATCCCTCCCTGTCCTGTAGCCCTGCCTGGCTCCCAACGCACCCCGCCCCCCCTCCAAAGGACTCGGTCTAGATCCTGGGCATTCTCAGGGCTGCTCACCTCATCACGCCCACAGTGAATGGCCAGACTTCAGGAAGGCTTAAGGCTTCCTGACCTTGCATCTGCCTCGCCCTACTGCCCTGTTAGAGCCGTCAGCATTCAGCCTGGGGGAAGGAGGTCAGGCCCTCTCACCTGAAGGGGAAGTTGTTGGTGATGCTGTAGACCATGGTGCCCGTCAATGCCACTAGCTCCAGCATGACGGACTGAAGGCTCAACCCTTCGGCACTCTGGGCTCTCAGGATTTTAAACACCTGGGGCAGCTTTACTAGAGAAAGGATGAGAAGGGCAGGCATGAGCTGACACCCCCTGTGAGTGCAACTCGATAGCTACAGAGCCGCCTGGGAAGCACGGTAGCCCCAGTTGTGGTCAAAGGACCCACCCAGTTCACGGCATCTCAGCCCTCCACCCGCATCCCGCAGCGGGAAGAGAAAAGATACATACCCAGCAGTGACCCAGCCACAATGCCCAGACCCAGGCCTTTGCTGAGGAGGATCTTGAGGCAGGGAACTGAGAAGAGAAAAGGGGTAAACAGGCTGCTGGAATCCAGGCCAGGGGTAAATAAAGGCTTTTCAGGCTCCTATGCGTTGCCGCTGCTCCTGAAGACCCTGACCTACCCACACAAGGAAGCCCTGGGTTGTGTGGCCTTCCTGCTTCAAATCCTATCACTGTCAGGCAGGTGACTTTCCAGAACAGCTCATGCTGCACAAATGACAGCTGGACTTGGTCTGACTTCCAAGGGTCTCCACTGCTTCCCTGAAAAGTTGAGCAATGCCCAACGGTCCTCCAAGCCGTTATTCTCTTCTGAGCAACTAGGCGATCCACTCCAAGGACAGATCTCCCTGTACCTCATTCCTGAACCTTCTGTCCCTGGCCCGCATCTTCCGATCCTGGAAGCTCTCCCGGCCCAAGGAGCTTATTAGCCCAGGGGGAGTCATGACTTCGACCAAATCGTGTCGCAGGAGCACGGTGGCGGACCAGGAACTGACAAGGGCTGACTGGGAACGCCTCCCTAAGGGTCTGGTGTCTGAGGTGGGCTTTGTGTGCAAGGGCGTCGCAGAAGGTGGGCTATTCCGGAATGAGACCAAGGGCAGAAGTGGAGGATGGAAGGAGCCTTTGAAACCAGTGTAACTTGGCCCCTGAGAGTATGGTGATCTATTAAAGACTGGAACGATTTGATCAGATTTTAACTTTGTAAGATTTTGAGTCCGTCCGTCATCATCGCTAAAGCGCAAGCTTCACAAAGAAGTAGTTCCGCCGGCCTCCCGCCCAAATATGGCGAGCTCCCTCCAAGGAGACCGAGGCACTTCCGCCGCGGGCCGGGGCGACTTCCGCCCAGCCCAGCGGAGCCGCGGTCGCCGCCGCCGCCTAACCCGCGGTCACGTCCCACGCGGGGCCGAGGGCGCTCGAGGAGAACTTTGATAGGATGCCGAATTAAACTCACCGTGCAGCAAGTCCCACTGGACGAAAATTTGGTCGTAGCATTTCTCAGGTAAGAGAAGCGGCACCAGCACTCGTTTGAGCGGGCCGTCTGCCTCGGCCGCCATGTTGCAAAGCTAGCTTCCGCCAGTCTCTCCGGGCCGCCATTGACGTACGGTGCGCATGCGCGCTCTGGACACTCCGCCCCCTACCTCCCCGCGTCTAGGCGGTACCGCCCCCTGTTCCTCGCTTTTTCCTACTCCTCCCCACCTTCGGCGGCGTAGACTAGGTCTCGTCCAGAGACCACATTTGGGACGCACCCTCTCTGTTAGACTTTTGCGGCGTGCTTAAGGCTCTGCGCCTGCGCAGTGACAGCTTTCGCGCCTTTGTTTACGCTTCCAGTTCGGAGGCCACGTTTACCCTCCTTCCTTTCTTGGCGCCTTCTGCGCGGCGCCATCTTGTCTTCCCCCGGCCGACGTCGCCTCGTTCGAAGTTGAGAGAGAAGGAGCCTGAGTCTCCAAAAGGGCGTTGGGTGGGGGCGGCGTAGCGCCCCGTCTGCGGTGCTCTCGGCGTCTCCGGAGGGAACGGCGCCGGTGGCAGCGGGTCGGCCGGCGCCGAAGCTGCGCGCAGGGCCCGTGGCCCTCCCTCCCCCGGTTCGCCCGGGCCTCGGCGGCTGCGAGCGCCAGAAGCTGCTGGGCCGGGACCCGAAGCAGAAGAGGCGGCGGTGGGGAAGGCGAGCCCCAGGCCCTGCGGGGCCCGGCACCCGCCGAGGGCTCCCTCCCGCCCCGCCGGCCCCCCGCCGCGTGCAGGGCACGATGGCCCCGCGGCCCCTCTCGGGGAGTGATGCCCTCCGCCCCCCAGCGCCCAGCCCTCCTGGTGGAGGCGGGCCTGACCGTCGCGCCCTGGCGGCCTGGCGCCGCCGCAGCCATCCAGCAGCCGTTTTTGGCCGCACTCCGCAGGGTCACACGGGACGTTGGGGACGCGGTGGGGGGCCTGCTGGGGAGCCGCGCCGCGAGCAGGCCGCCCCCAGCGGGGTGGGTGTCGGGCCTTCCCGGGCTCCTACCATCGGAACGGCCCCGTCCTGTCCCCCAGCCTTCGCCCTGTGGCCCTGTCGTGGTGCAGGCTGTGGCCGCCTGGGAGGCCCTTTCTAGAATCGCGGCACAGGCTGTTCTGCGGGTGCCACCCCCTCCCACCAGGTAGACCACCCCTGGGGGACCTGAGGTTGGCCTGGCGGGTGGCTCAGGGCTGGAGGGGTGTTGTCCCTAGGAGCACCGAGGGAACTTGCAGGTGCGGGTCAGAGTACCCACAGCTGTCAGGGCTGATGCAACACTTTGCAGGTGACAGCGCAGGATCCCTGGTGCAGTGAGGATTGGGGGGGGAGGCAGGGAGGGCAGAGCCGAGCGTTCTCGTTGCTAAGGAGCCTGCAGAAAGGAACTGACACAGGTGTGACCTTCCCGCCCATGCCGGTCAGCTGTTGCTACCTGCTCACCTGTAGTTGCTGAACAGGACTGGAGGGTGGAGGACCCAGAGAAGGCAGCCAGAGGCCCGGAAGAGGAGGAGGCAGGGGTGGAGGCAGAGACCCTCCGCCAGCTGTGCCAGGCCGGGGGGGGGGGGGGGGGGGGGGGGGGGGGGGGGGTGCGGGGTGTGAACCCTCCTGGGCATGTGGTCACTCGTGTGTTTTCGTCCCTTGCTAGCGGCCTGGCTCCCAGAGATTCAAGCGTGGAAGGCGCAGAAAGCTGCGGGACAGGAAACTCCGGCCGGAAGAGGATGGGAAACCAAGGACAGAGGTCGGAGCAGGTTTTATTTTTCTGGGGGCCAGGGAGGAGAGACTTGTCACATCGCATAAACCCCTGTCCCCTCGTCCCTCCCGGACTGCAGTCCTGTTCTTGAAGAGCGAGAGGGAAGGGGAGGCAACTTTTGGGAGAAATGAGGGGGCCCCGGGGTCCCGTGTTGGGGCCACGAGCTCAGAGGGGCTGGTAGGCGGGTGGGCGTCTCCGGACGACACAGAGCGCGGTGAGCACCAGGGCGAGGAGGCCGAGGGAGGCGACACCGATGAGGAGGGGCAGCAGGAGGACATGGTCGCTGGGACAGGGGAAACCTGGCGGGAGGGGAGGGCAAGTCGGCGTGGCGGTGGTGCTGGGGGAGGGGGGAGGCAGGGGACAGGGAGGAGCTCCCCGAGCAGCCTCTGAGCAGCCAGTAAAAGGGGACAAGGGGGCAAAGCCTTGCAGAGGGAGGCCAGCGGCTCTGTGGTCATAAAGTGGAGGGGAGGGGAGGGGAGGGGAGGCGCGAGGCCCAGGGTGGGCGGTCAGCGCAGCGGGACCCTAGTGGGAGGCAGATAGTTCTTACTTGGCCCAAAGGCCCCCGAGGGTGGCAGCCGGGCAGCCTGGAGCTTCAGGTGCAGCAGGTCGAGGCGCAGCGCTGGGGACAGAGTGACGCTCGCGTTCCCGCAGCTGAGGCTCTGGCCCAGGGGGGCCCGCAGAGCTCGAAGGGATGCGTTCTCGACGGAGAAGGTCCACTCTGGAAGAGTGAGCCCAGGTCGGCGCTGGGTCCGCGTCCCCACCCCTCGGCTCAGGCTCCCCGCCCCCCCCCGGGAGGGCAGGTCACTCACGTGCTGCCTGTGGGAAGGACACGTTGTACTCCAGAGCCGCGTAGTTCAAGTAGACCGCGCTCTGCTGCAGCTCCTGCAGAGGGGACCGGGAAGGCTCAGGGTGGGGTGGCATCCGAGGCCGGGGAGGGGTGGGGAGGTGGCATCTGTGGCTGGGGAGGGGGTGGGGTCGGAGCGCAGCGAGGGACAGACAGGGAAAGGGCGCGTGGCGGGTGAGGGCACAGTACCTGCTCGAATCCAAAGCTGAGCTGTCCGTAGGGGAAGGAGAGAAGCAGGTGGGGGTGGGCACCCTCACAGACCCCCTGCGCCGTGGTTTTGTTGGGGTTCAGCACAGAGGTGCCCCAGGCCTGCAGGGGATCAGCGGTTTCGTAAGACCTAACGTGCGGCCCCAGGTCCCCTTCATGCCACCCGGCGCCCTTCTCCCCTTTTCTGTCTGAGCCGCGGCCTCACCGGCCTCCCCTTGTGTCCAGGGTCCTCGCACTTTACCTCTCCTCCGCCCTGGGTCGGGTACAGGATTCCGATCTGGATCTGGGCTTGGAGCCGGACGCAGGGCTGGGAGCCGTTAGCCCACATGTAGTCTCCTACGGCGCCCTTGGAGCCTGGGCTCGGACTTGGAGGGGGTGGAGGCGGTCCTGGCTGTGGGGTACTGGTGGGAGCTCTCGGGCTGGTGGCCGTGCTGTTGCTCATCGTCGGGTTGACAGTGGCGTTTCCGTGGCTGGGGGTGGTGTTGGTATGGTGGCCAGCCGTCGTGGGCTCGTGGCTGGTGGTGTCCGGCGTGGTGGCTCTGTGGCTGGTTGTCGAGGGTCTTGCTGTGCTCTCTGTAGCTGTGGGCGTCACCGTGAAGGATGGCAGCAGAGTGGCTGATTTTTTGTGAGGACAGCCATTCTGTGTCCCCTGGGCTTTGGGCAGAGGAACAGACTGGTTAGCGGCCCACAGCTCTCTCCCTAGGGCCCCTCCTCTCCGGGCCTGGGTCCTTACCCGCTAGAAGCCCCAGCAAGGCCCCCGAGAAAACCACCACCAGCCTCATGGTAGGGCGGCCGCACCCAGTCGGTCTGCGTAGGGGCGTCAGAACTAGCTGCTCGCCGAACCCTCTTCCCTCCACTGTCTCTTGGGAAAGGAGGAATTAAGCGGCTGACTTCCTGCAGCTGAGAGCGGCCGTCCCCAACCTGACTCAGGCACCTCAGCCCCAGCCACCAACCACTTAGTCACTGAACTGTTGTCACAAAGTTAGGGGTTTGGCCCTGGCACCACTGGCGTTTTGTTTGGGGGCCGCTGGTCTTAGGGACTCACTGGTCTGCTTTAGCAGAGCCCTGGGAGGGGAGGGGTCCCAAGGGAACCAGTGGGGAGACCTCCCTCCTCACCCCCCCCCAGGAAGGGGTCCCGTGGGTCCTGGAAGGTTCTCCCTCCCTCTTCCATCTGTCACTTCCTCTTGGAGACGCGTGAGGCACTTGTGATGGTGCCCATGCCCAGCCCCTTACAGAGGGTCACGTTATGCAGTCATTGTGACCATTTCCCGGGTGTCCCACAGGAGCAGCACAGGGGAAGGAGACGCACCCAGTGACAGGTGGGGAGGGGAGGGGAGGCAAGAAAGTGAGGAGCCCAGCAGGCAGTTTCCAAGTAATTTTATTCAGAATTTTGTGTTTGTTTCCTGAATCAATAAATACTATACAAAACAATGTAAAAATGGCTACCATTTTCTCTCCCCTGCTCCCCCACCTGGGGACAACCCCTTGGGCCACGTAACTCAAGGGCGCTCCAGATTTGGTCCAGGTCAGTGAGGTTGACACTACCAGCCCCTTGCGTCCTCTTCGGAGAGGCCGGCCGGGCAGGGCAGAGCCTCTGGGGTTTGGAGGCTGACTGGGTTATGGAGATGGATTAGTGTTTTTGGGAGAAGAGACGGCGCCTGGGGCAGGAATCTGCCCCAAAGAAAAGGGTGTCTAAAATGTTCACGGTTCCTTCTTTTGCCTCAAAAAGTGACATTTATTCAAAGAAAAAAAAAAAGAAAAAAAAATGACAAGATGTCCATCCCTTGGCTCCCTTCCCTCCCCCCTCTGCTCCTCCTCAGCCCCCCAAGGACTGAGCCCTGGGTGGGGCCGGGCAGCCCCTCAGATGAGGTCGGCAACGTTGAGGGGCATCTCCTCAATGGACGTGTTGTAGAAGGTCTCGATGTCGCGCAGGGTTCTCTTGTCTTCTTCCGTCACCATGTTGATGGCCACACCCTTGCGGCCGAACCGGCCGCCGCGACCGATTCTGTGGGAAACGGGGCGCGTCCCAATGAAGGAAAGGGGGGTAGGCGGGAGCCGCGGCTCGGGGAGCAGAGGGGGCAAGCGCTTACCTGTGGATGTAGTTCTCCCTGTTGGTGGGAAGGTCATAGTTGATGACTAGGGACACCTGCTGCACGTCAATGCCTCGGGCCTGGGCCAAGGAGAGGGCGGCTTCAGCGCGGGAACGGGAAGGGGACGCCCCGTCCACAAGGGACTGGGGACAAGTGTGGGCAGCCGGAGGCAGGCAGAGGACACCAGCGTCCCCGCCCGCCACGGCCTCGGGCGTGCCACGTCCTGTCCCAAGCTGCTACTTTCCGGAGGAGGGCACGGGCAGGCCCCTCGGAGAGGGAATCACCTTGGACTTGCCCTTCCTCCTTCCCCGCCTGCTACTCACCAGCAGGTCGGTGGTGATGAGTACTCTGCTGGAGCCCGAGCGGAACTCCCTCATGATAACATCTCGCTCCTTTTGGTCCATGTCTCCGTGCTGCAACAGCAAGCGGGGGGGGGGGGGGGGGGGGGGGTGGAGTGCGTCCTGAGCACCGGCGGAGCGCGGGCCAAGGACCCACGAGCCGCCGGGGCCGAGGCGCCGAGGACTCACCATGGCGGACACGGTGAAGTCTCGGGCGTGCATCTTCTCGGTGAGCCAGTCCACCTTCCTCCGGGTGTTGATGAATATGACTGCCTGCGTGATGGTCAGGGTCTCGTACAAGTCACACAGCGTGTCCAGCTTCCACTCCTGGGGGTGGGGCGGGGCGATCAGTCAGGGGCCCCACCGCCACCCGCCGCAGGCCCGCCTCCTGCACCGGGCCCCACCTCTCGCTCCACGTTGATGTAGAACTGGCGGATACCCTCCAGGGTCAGCTCCTCTTTCTTGACCAGAATTCGAATGGGGTCCCTCATGAACTTCTTGGTCACCTCAAGCACGTCGGAAGGCATCGTAGCGGACAGCAAGACCACCTAAGGGAGACGAGAAGCCTCAAGGCAGGGGACCTCCCACGAGGCCGCCCCCTTCCCCACTGCCCCCCAAATCCTAGGCCCGAGGCGAGACCCCGCGAGTTCCTGCCGTTCCCGTGGCGCCTGCTGTGGCTGTCCTACCTTCCCACCCCCGCCACACTGGCACAAGCCCCAACCCGCTTTCTCACCTGGGTGTTACTGTTGAGCTTCTGGAATATGTCATAGATCTGGTCCTTGAACCCGCGGCTTAACATTTCGTCAGCTTCGTCCAGCACGAACATCTTGATGTATTTGGGCGCTACGGGGAGAAACGCGCCGCAACATTAAACGCTGTGAAATCAGACTCCGCTCTCCCAAGAAAGAACAGGGGGCAGGTCTGCTCTCAGAATACAAAGGCTGATCCTCTGCCCGACCCCCTCCCCACGCCGGGCCAGGCAACAGACCTGGGAAGTAGAACACTCCCCGGGCTAAGGCGGGAGCCAAGCCGGGCTCAGATGACACGCATGGGTTCATCACAGAGCAGCTATTCCACGGGCGGAAAGGGACGGCCGAGGACCGAGGTGGTCATCGGGGGAGAATGGGGAAGTCGGGGAGAAGGTGGACACTCACAGAGGTATCTCCGGTTAAGCATGTCGAACACACGTCCCGGGGTCCCCACGATGATATGGGGTGCTTCCATCTGAAGCTTCTGCACCTCAGCACGTACGTTGGTCCCTCCGATGCAGGCGTGGCAGGAGGCACCCATGTAATCTCCTAACGCCATGACTACCTTCTGTATCTGAACCCAGAGGAAAAAAACCCGTATGTGCCAGGCCCCCAGTGCAAATCAGTTCTCTCCAAATCAGACCTGCGCTGCTAAACTCGCTTTCCAGACAAGAAACTGAGGCAGATACAAGACCACCCTGCCAAGAAGTGACAGACTCGGGATGTGAACTTGTGAAACATACAAGGATTCACGCCAAAAGTGACCCATTCATTAGATCTTGAAGCGACCAGCTTAGCGAACGGGATGACCTCTGTTGTCCTGCCACTAAATCTGTGCTACAGAATGTGTTCCCTCTATACGCTGATGCCCTAAGGAATCCCTTCTAGAGTTTCTTTACTTACTTTGCCTTAACCAGGAGTTAGTACACAATCATCCTGTTATTTCCCCAGAGTGTTCAAAACTAACTTACAAAAAGACTTGTATTTCTGATTCTCCTCAAAGACCCCAAGAAAGTCTATCGTTAGGATTAATGTGCCCCAGGCATGAAACAGCTCTGGCCACCAACCCAGGCATCAAGCTAGGATGAACAAAGGACTGCGTCTGCTCTGCCCCAGGCTGATATAAGAGCACCACCATCGCCGAGGTGTCTCTTTGCCCATTGCCAGGGGGTTTGTCCATAAAACAGCCACCAAACTTGCTCAACGAGCTGGGCCCCACCTAGCAGCCTTTTCCTTGGACTCAGGAAATGGGTGGAGAAAAGGATGCTTATTGTTTGGTTAGGAGAAGACACATAATTAACCCCAACCAGCCTTCAGAGATCCAGAAGTCCTTGGCTCCTTTTCCTTAGAGCATCTCTGCCCCGTGGCTTCAGTTCTCCCGAAGCGGTGCTGCTTCTTAGGGAGCACACCTCTCAGATTTTTTGGTCATGCTTCGCATTGACCTTAACCCTGGCTGCCACCAGGGGAGGGAAGCTGCACACTCACCTGCTGAGCCAGCTCTCTAGTAGGTGCCAGGACCAAGGCCTGTGTAGCCTTTAGATCCAATTCAATCTGTTGCAGAATCGATATGGCAAAAGTGGCTGTTTTCCCAGTCCCGGATTGGGCTTGAGCGATCACGTCGTAACCTAAACAGATCAGGAGAAACCGGACATGAATACGTACATTTCGGGATCACGAGGCGTTCGAGGCTCTGCGTAACAAGCACTTGGTAAGAGCGAAGTGCCTCAGACTTCATCCCACAACCACCTGGTGCCCAAACGGGAACATCTAGACAGGAACTCAGACTATTAACTCATTTAGGACAGCCCAAAGCTGACCTCTGACCTAAAAAATACAAACAGTAGTCAAGAACCGGCTAAAATGCCACCTCACTGACCTCCAACCAGCAACCCGTGTGTCCAGGGCATGAACCAGGCACCGGCACAGACTGAAAGCCAAGCTGGGATAGACAAGGAATTGCTTTGCCCCAGACTGATATGAGGCTAGCACCACTGACCAGATGCCACTCTACCCAGATCAGGGACCGTCAAGAACTCGTTCTGGGGCGGAAGAATCTTACCCTTGATACAAGGAAGAATGGCTCGCTGCTGGATGGCAGAAGGCTTCTCGAAACCATAGGCATAGATGCCCCGGAGCAGAGACTCGGAGAGGTTCATGTCGTCAAAGCTGTCAACGATCTCATTCCAGTTACTCTGTGGGGCGCAAGGAGATTCACAAAGCAGGAAGGGGACGCTGGATCCCAGCACTGGAGCAAATAGGGCCTGAAACCTGCACCAAAGCACCACAGCCCAGGCATCTCCTCCCTCCGGGGGAGCCGGCTGGCCCTATGTGATTTGGAAAGTCGCTCTAAGGGACCAGTCCACTTATAAAAAGAGTGGCCAGACAGTGTAGCACGAACCAAACTCCACAGGAAGGACGGGTTTCACTCACACACACCCGGGGCCGGCCCTATTTATAACAAATCACTGGAAGGGATTCAGGATGGGGGGTGGAAGGGACCGTCCACTTGGCAATTAGGCAAGCAGCACCCAGAAACCAGGAGACACTGCCTTCCCCAGACACGAAGGACAATGGCCCAGGGGTCCAATCTCACCTCGATGACGCCTTCGGGCTCCATCCCATCGGGGCCATTGTCTCTGGATCTGTTGGTTTAAAGTAGAAGCAGGCCGACTGAGACGCCGGAAGTCCCGACGACCAGGCTCTTCCTACCAGAAACCAGCCTCACACGATGCCCTCAGCCCACGCTCCCGACCCGACCACCCCACCGCTTCCCAGGAGACACAGTACTCGATTTACAACAGAGTCAGGCCTCTGCCCCCAACACCGAGGGGCCGATCCTCCCCGAAGGCCCGCAGGCTGGAAGGAACGCCGCCGAGCTTCCGGGGGCCCTGGGGTGGTCTCCGCGGCCGGGCCCACGTGTCCCGGGCCGGGCCGCTCCGAGTCCGAGCGCGTGCACCTCCCACCGCGGCCCCGGCGCGCCGGAAGTCCCGCCCCGCACCTCCCTGATGCGAGGGTAGGACATCCCCTTCCCCCCACGTCACTCCGCCCGCGCCCTCCCCCACCCCCTCCAGCCCGTCTCCCCCCCTCGCGGTGCCCGGATGTGGGAGGCCGCGGGCGGTGGCGGCCTCGCGCACAATGAGCCCCAGCCGAGCTAGCGAAGGGGGAGATTGCACAACACTGAGAAGCGAAGCGGGCTGGGGGAGGGGAGCCCCTCGGGCCGCCATGTGCTCGCTCCCTCGCCCACCCGGCGGCGTCTCTTCCCCCAGCCCCCCGCCCAGCCACGGCACAATCCACAGCCCGCCCGCCCCCGTCGCGAAATGGCGTCGCCCTCCCATACCTCAGGCCGCTCACCCCCGAAGGAAAGTGGACCTGCCCATCCGCAGTTTGCCAATTGCCCGGCTCGTGCGGCAAAATGGACCCGCCCGCCCGGCGCCGGGTGGGCTCCCGGCGCCTCACGCGGCCGCTCCTCGGGGTCAGGCTCGGTCCTGGCCGTCAAGAAAACCAGCACACTGAACGGCCGGCTTCTTCCGCCCCGACCCATCACTCCGCGCGACGACGCGCCCGGCTCGAAGGACCCGGGCGCCCCCGCTCCGACGAGTGGTCCCGTCGGAACCCTCCGGAATCCCGAGCGCGCGCGAGCCCTCCCTCCGCCACAGAGGCGCCCGGCCCCGCCGTCCCGGGTCACGCGCGGCGGCGGCCGCCTCCGCCTCCCACGCCCGGTCGCGGCCTCGCCTGGCGCTCGGCTCCGGCCTCCCGGCAGGCCGCGCCCGCTCGCTCCCCAGGACCGGGCCTCCCGGCGTGGCTGCCCCGCAACCCCGGGGGATGGGGGCCCAGGGCGGTGGGCTTCGGCTCTCCCCGCGGGACCCTCGGGAGGGAGCGGCTGGGTAAGTAACCTAGACCTCTTGCAAAAGGGTTTCTTACCGGGAATCCTGACTCGCAGACATGATCCTTAGAAACTAGGGCGGAGTGCCCGCCTATCGACAACTTATAGAGCGCCCGACCCCGCCCCAGCCATCGCATTGGCTTGCCCGCCTCGGCCCCGCCTGCCGACGCTCCGCGCCTCGGCGTGACGTCGGCTCGCAGGCGCTCCGGCCCGAGGCCGCCATTGGATAGCCTGAGCGCTTGTCAAGGGGAAGACCCGCCCCGCGGCCCCATTGGCTGTAGGGCCCGCCTTTCTCGCCGGTGCGGAAGTGACATATGGGAGTCGGGCCTCGAGGTCTGGCAGCCATCTTGGGGCCCAGCGCCCCTACACGTGCGGAGGCGAGAGCGCCCTGGTCATGTGGCCCAGCGGGCCCTATCACGCGAGAGGGGCGAGGTTTCAGCCTCCAGGGACTTCCGGGCTCCCGAGACCGCTGCTTCCCTTCGCCTCTGTCCTGGGTCTGCCCTGGACCCACATTCTATTTCGTTCCCTCCTGCAGCAAAGGTAGATCGGATACCGCCCCGCCCCGCCCCGGGGGCACTGGGGGTGATGGGATCCGGCGGTAGGGTTCCTGGTGCCCCAGGGACGGGCAGGGATGGCTTCCCCGGCATCTAGCGATCTTGGCCGCCTCCCTTAAGTGTCCTGGTCCCCAGCTCCAGCACCTCTCAAAGCTCCCTTAGGGACGTCACCGGGGAGCTCTTTAGGGATGATACAGACAGGGTGCGGGCCAACGAGCCAGGGGGGAAGGCTGCGACCTCCATACCCGTGAAAGGGGAGTCCCTGTTAAGGGACTGCTGCATCAAAGCCTGAGGGCTAGCATATCCACTAGGCTGAGGCCTCTTAAGGAAGACCACCACTGTGTATCTCCAAAGGATCCTTTATTGACCAGAGCAGGGCCGTGGCGTTTATATATATGTATAAAAAAAAGTTTAAAGATCTGGCAGGCAGGAATCCCTTCTCCCGCCCACCACCCCCGGTACAGATTTTCCTGCCCCTGCCCCTGCACACGGAAGGGGGGTGACTGCCCCACCCAGACCGCACCGCCAGGCTCCCCCACTGCAGAGGGAACAAGAGGCTTTTCCACGGCCACCCCCTGAACATCAGAAATCAACAGGTATTCTCTCAAAAGAAAAAAAAAATACAGAACTCCATTAAAACATTTAAATATGAAAAACCAAAGGGAATCGGGTGGGAGAGGCAAGAGAGGGAAGGAATGGGAGTTTCTGGGGCAGGAGGGCCCCCCATGTCCCCACGCCCGTTCATGAATGGGCTTGAGGCCCGGGATACGAGGCTCACACAGTGAGTTTGCAGTGACACAGCTCCTTGTAGATCTGCCGACGAAGTTTGGGCATGTCCTGCTGGGTGAAGCTGAAGGGCTGGGCCAGGGCCAGGTGCTTG